ATAAGCAGCACACATATTAATGCGCCTAGAGAACTGAATAGTTTCAAGCAAATGACAATACTGCTACCAGAAGGGAATCGAACACGAGACACTTAGCTTGTCTCCTGGGAACGTACCTAATCTCCCGATTCCTTAGTCCAGCGGAAGGTTAACTAGATTCTTAGGCCGCTTGCTAAATATAAATATTTATATATTTATATATGTCATGCAAATGAAAGCTAAGGAGAATAAATTTTTTCTCCCATTAATCAGCGGAAATCTATCCGAACATAAGGAAAAAAAGTGTATAGAATTGATTTTAAATAATCTTAAATTTAAACTGACTAATGATATTTATAGCAGAATTAAGGAAAGGAACTTATGGTAGTTTAAGTTAGGTTAGACGAGATTTCTGTGTTGGGTTTAATCCAAAAATTAAAATCTTTGTTTTAGTGTCAATGAAAAATATGATTTATCATAATATCAAATATTTTTTTTGAAAAGTCTAGGTTTTAATGGAGTACTGCCACTTGGCAAGTTCGGCTTATTAGATGGTGTCTAAGTTAGGTTTAGTCGAGAAATATTTTTTTTTATATCAATGTTAATGTAAAAAATAGCTTCCGGCCATTTTTCAGGGTTATGTAGTTACTTAAAATATGGTACATAAATGTAGATAGAATAATAACTGATGAATGGAATGATAGAATAGCAAAAGTATTACCAGACATTATAGCACTCACAGAGACAATACACACAGCGATAACAAACGCAATTTTCTCAGGATAGCAAATTGTGTGGATGGATAGAGGAAAGAGAATAGGTGGAGAAGCAGCATACCTAGTCAGAAAGCTGTGGAGGTTTGGAGAATCGAGAGGAATAAACAGAGAGAAGTCAAATTACTACTTAGTTTAGGATATTCAAGATTGGGAGATCCAAGGTGGTGACAACAGTGATGTACAATCCACCACTAAACAGCTGGATATATATAGAGGAATAATGCAACAACAGAGTGAAGGTGGACATCATAGCCGAAGTGGCTAAAAGAAATGATATAAAACAGGGAAATCTACTGATCATGAAAGACTAACCATAAGGAAAAAGATGGAGAATCTGGAGTTACATGGGAAAGACTAGAAGCGTGTAGAGCTAAGATGATGCAGATGGTGTTAGAAAGTTGTATTTGCTAACATATCAGGGATACAACCAGAGAGAGAGGAGGAAATAAATCAGCAAGGATGGATCTTGTTTTCACCTTAAGGACTCTAACATAGGTGACACAGACACAAGTTTAGTGATGAATTTTGAGAAACTTGTGGAAATAAAGTTTAATATGAACATAGCACGAGGAGTAAGGAGAGGAGACACCAGACTTCAGAACAGGAATCTACACAGATATGAAACAAATCTTGAATGAAATGCAGTGGAAAGAGGAACTGAGAGGAAAGATAATGAGAGAAGAATTTCATACCTGGAAGCAGAAGAAGCAATGTTAAGAATGAGCCAATGGTTCACCCACAGGGAAAGAAAAACAAAAGATGATAGTGGAATAGCATTGGAAAAATAAGAGCACTGATCACAGGTAAATATGAAAGAAACTGAAGAACCACAAACGAATCAAGGTTAAAAATAGAGAGTGAACGAGAATTTGAGAAAGACATTGCATGAAAGTTTAAATCCGAACCAGTGTTGCTTTGCAGCCCAATTAGAAAGAAAAGCTCAATACTTGACTATGTATTAAGACTGAAGAAGGAAGAAGAGAACTCACAAGAATGACCAGGAAATCTGTGAATACCTACGAAGAACATTTGACAAAATTCTCGTAGAGGAAATGGTTACTTTATATGGGAATCAAGAGAAAGAGTAGACGACGCAGTTCACACAAGAGAGTAAATAAAGGAACTGCTGACCAAAGTAGAAACCTTGAAGCTTAGGAAGCAGAGGACGTATGTAAACCACCTTGAAGCTTAGGAAGCAGAGGACGTATGTAAACCACCTTGAAGCTTAGGAAGCAGAGGACGTATGTAAACCACCTTGAAGCTTAGGAAGCAGAGGACGTATGTAAACCACCTTGAAGCTTAGGAAGCAGAGGACGTTTGTAAACCACCTTGAAGCTTATGAAGCAGAGGACATATATAAACCACCTTGAAGCTTAGGAAGCAGAGGACATATATAAACCACCTTGAAGCTTAGGAAGCAGAGGACATATATAAACCACCTTGAAGCTTAGGAAGCAGAGGACATATATAAAACCACCTTGAAGCTTAGGAAGCAGAGGGGACATATGTAAACCACCTTGAAGCTTAGGAAGCAGAGGACATATGTAAACCACCTTGAAGCTTAGGAAGCAGAGGACATATGTAAACCACCTTGAAGCTTATGAAGCAGAGGACATATATAAACCACCTTGAAGCTAGGAAGCAGAGGACGATATAAAACCACCTTGAAGCTTAGGAAGCAGAGGACAAAATGTAAACCACCTTGAAGCTTAGGAAGCAGAGGACATATGTAAACCACCTTGAAGCTTAGGAAGCAGAGGACATATGTAAACCACCTTGAAGCTTAGGAAGCAGAGGACATATGTAAACCACCTTGAAGCTTATGAAGCAGAGGACATATGTAAACCACCTTGAAGCTTATGAAGCAGAGGACATATATAAACCACCTTGAAGCTTAGGAAGCAGAGGACATATATAAACCACCTTGAAGCTTAGGAAGCAGAGGACTATGTAAACCACCTTGAAGCTTAGGAAGCAGAGGACATATGTAAACCACCTTGAAGCTAGGAAGCAGAGGACATATGTAAACACCTTGAAGCTTAGGAAGCAGAGGACATATGTAAACCACCTTGAAGCTTAGGAAGCAGAGGACATATGTAAACCACCTTGAAGCTTAGGAAGCAGAGGACATATGTAAACCACCTTGAAGCTTAGGAAGCAGAGGACATATTTTAAACCACCTTGAAGCTCAGGAAGCAGAGGACATATATAAACCACCTGAAGCTTAGGAAGCGGAGGACATATATAAACCACCTTGAAGCTAGGAAGCGGAGGACATATATAAACCACCTTGAAGCTTAGGAAGCGAGGACATATATAAACCACCTTGAAGCTTAAGGAAGCAGAGGACATATATAAACCACCTTGAAGCTCAGGAAGCAGAGGACATATATAAACCACCTTGAAGCTCAGGAAGCAGAGGACATATATAAACCACCTTGAAGCTTAGGAAGCGGAGGACATATATAAACCACCTTGAAGCTTAGGAAGCGGAGGAATATTTAAACCACCTTGAAGCTCAGGAAGCAGAGGACATATATAAACCACCTTGAAGCTTAGGAAGCAGAGGACATATATAAACCACCTTGAAGCTTAGGAAGCAGAGGACATATATAAACCACCTTGAAGCTCAGGAAGCAGAGGACATATATAAACCACCTTGAAGCTTTAGGAAGCAGAGGACATATATAAACCACCTTGAAGCTCAGGAAGCAGAGGACATATTATAAACCCCCTTTGAAGCTCAGGAAACAGAGGACATATATAAACCACCTTGAAGCTTAGGAAGCAGAGGACATATATAAACCACCTTGAAGCTTAGGAAGCAGAGGACATATATAAACCACCTTGAAGCTTAGGAAGCAGAGGACATATATAAACCACCTTGAAGCTCAGGAAGCAGAGGACATATATAAACCACCTTGAAGCTTAGGAAGCAGAGGACATATATAAACCACTCGCCATGTTCTTCAAGTTCACTAACGGAAGATAGCGGACAGAGATGTGAAAACCAGTGTGTGTGTGTCTTTCACAAGAGGAAGTTTATAGAGAACCTCCAGCACTCTTTTTAGAGTTATCAAACAAGTTAACGAAGTTATTCAAGAAAGAGATGACTGAGTGGACTGCATTTGTTTAGTACTCTAAGAAGACCTTTGATTTAGTACCGTAAAAATGACTGGAACAAAAGACAGTGGTACAGTCAGGGGGAAAAACAAGGAAAGTATTGCAATGAATCACGAAATAACTAATATTAATGAAACAAAGATGTACCAGAAGGGAAAAGTGTGATGAGTAGAGTTCCACATGGGCTGGTACTGGGACTGATGCTGTTTCTCGTGTACGTGAACGACTTTACAGAAGAAATCGTCAGATGTATCCCTATTCCAGGATGATGTGAAACCAATCAGGAAAATGCTAACAGAAGAATATCAGGATAGATATCAAATGGACTTGGATATATAAAGAAAAAAATGCAGGAATTAAATACAGGACCGGGGGTATGAACGCTGCAAATCTCATAAAGGAGAAGGATTAGCGGTTGAGCGTGAAGCTAGCATATAGTCTGAGATGCACATAAACCTAATAACTTATGCGGCAGAGTGTCAGACATATCTAGGATTTGCTTTCAGGACTCTTAACAAGCAGTTATTCATAACACTTCTATGACCTAAATCAGCCACATCGTGGAGACTGCCCAGGAGCAGTTAAGAAACCAGATCTGCTCAGAAATATCATGTCCAAGAGTTAAGGGGCATGTCCTACGAGGACAGGTTAAGGGAGATCGACCTGACAACACTGGAGGACAGGAGAGATAGGGGGGATATGATAACGACCTATATGATACTGAGAGGAATTGACAAGGTGGACAGAGACAGAATGTTCCAGGTATGGGACACAGCAACAAGGGGTCACAGTTGGAAGTTGAAGACTCAGATGAATCAAAGGAATGTTAGGAAGTATTTCTTCAGTCACAGAGTTGTCAGGAAGTGGAATAGTCTGGGAAGTGATGTAGTAGAGGCAGGATCTATACATAGCATTAAGAAGAGGTATGATAAAGCTCATGGAACAGGAAGAATGATCTAGTAGCGACCAGTGAAGAGGCAGGGCCAGGAGCTGTGAATCGACCCCTGCAACCACAACTAGGTGAGTACACACACACACGTATGTCACTATTTAGTGAACGAACATGCAAGACAGATAATTTTGGAAGCAAATGTCTTTAATGAATTTTTTATATTTCTTCAGAGAACATGGAAAGAGAACTAGAAGAGAACCTGAGCAGTGTAGAGGAGATTACTGGATACCTCAAAGTCTTTCATTCTAATCTCACGTCCCTCAAGTTTCTCCGCAATCTCAAGACGATACACGGCCAGACACTTGCTCATGGCAAGTAAGTGATGTACACTTGACGGTGATGAATGTCTTCAGGATTAACTGCGTAATTCTAAATGTATTTCATTAAGTTATTCTCCTGAAGGTGACGTGGTAGTTATGCTGAGTAACAGGACTGTGAGGGATAAATCACTCACAGTCGTGGTAGTAATGCTGAGTAACAGGACTGTGATTGATAAATCAGCTATTTGATGTTTCTCTGTCACTAAGATTTTCTGGATATGTATACATGTAGAATTTTTTTTTTTTTTGTATATGGAATGGTTGTATTTATTTAAGCTGTTTTTCAAACACTGATATAATTCAATATTTAGTTGTGTTATATTTTAACATACAACATATTGTAGTAAATGGGTGAAGTGTTCTTCAAGGCTTCTCTGAATGATTTTCCTGTAAAGTTAATATGTCCTGGTCACTATCAATGATTTGTGGAATTCCAGTTTGAGACATGAATTTAATTTAGGTTTTAAGAATGGTCTTGGTATTATTGCTATGCGTAGGCATCGCCTCAGGATACCTAGTAATTTTGTCAATAATAGGTAAGGGTTCCACACAGTTGATGGTTCTCCATCAGCTAGTATGTGAAGTGGTGCACGTCTGATGATGTGTCTGAGAGTCCCCTCTTACTGACACTCACGGCAAGATCTGATGTTACTCTCAACATCTCGTCTTAAAACCTGGCCAATCAAGTGTTTTGACATCCTAAAAAGTGTCTTAGCGACACCCAAATATCCTCTTAAGGACGAATTACGACCTGAGGTCTGAATTTATTAGGTATTACAAGTCTATCAAATTAGAATACTTTCCATATTCCCTTACCAACATTTAGACAAAATAATATTATATATTTCACTATGTATTGAGCCGGGTATATAGAGTTGGATTGAGCAAAAGCAGCTTGGAAAGCTGAAGCCGAAAAGAGTCTTTATTGCTCTTCCCAGAAGGTCGGTCCATAGGGCATGGAGACAGGAGCGTCTGGCACTCCTGCTACCCAGGAATAGAAGGGCTTGATTAGGGGTGTTTCACTAGATTGACGAGGACCTGGCAAATTTTCCTCGCAAAATAATTTATCTAACCCACGACTGGAGTTCCCCAAGGTAAGGTCAGTCTCCTTGTCAGACTTTACCTTGGACATTGCCCACGTTATGTCCAAGACTGGAGAACAACCTTCTGTAGTTACAATAGAATTGGGATATAATATGGAACAGGATATTTTTGCCAAGCAACAGTAAAGCTTCTTTCATGGGGAAACTTCCACAAAAAAAAAACACCAAAACAATAACTCTCCCATAAGATTCTAATGGGACTGAAGACTTTAAAGAAATTTAATCACAAATTGGAATTACTCCCTCTAGTAAGAGGGAGTGGATAAATCATTGAGGCCGTCGTGCTGTTTAAGGAAGATTTGCTGGTGCCAAAGAAAGGTGCCATACAAGCAACTACTTTATCTGATTAGATTTATCTATAATTAAGTTATTGTTGCTCAGAGGTGGTGGTATACTGGACTTACCACTGGTAGAAGATTTATGTAATTTAGGGCACATGGGTTTGATATGGCCAGGCTCTTAACAGCAGTAGCAGGTTAGGTGCTCCGAAATCTTGTCTCGTGCACCTTTCTGGTTTTGAGGTAGGCGTTGTGCCCCAACTCCAGTTTTAATCCTCGGACGAAATCCAGCAGCCCTTTCAAGACGATCTCTGTCCATACCAAGCTGGAGTAAAGAAATTTTAGGTGATCCATCGGCCAGTGATCGGTTTGCCTCAATGGTGTCTGCCAACTTAACCACCTCCATAGCAGCTGCTACCTAATGCTCTTCTAAAAAGACCTTTTCCTCTTGACCAGTTGAATTACGCAGATTTTCGATCATGACTAACTGCACTAATTTGCTGAAGTTAGGAGCGCTAGTTACTCTATAGCACTTGGTGACGATCTTGATCTGTAGCCGGACAAAATCAACATGAAACTGTCCGGACTGACGCTTGTTTAATTTGAACTCTCGCCTATATTTGGCAGGAATACATTGATATGCCTCAAGCACAACCATCCACCTTCACAACGCTGTAATCAGTGAAGTCTTCATCACTTAAACTAGCAGTGAATTCCTGCAATGTAGTACAGTATAAATCAGTGCTGCCCAATGGTCACTGCACAGCTCGAATCTGGTTTCTGAAGGACTAAAACTTATTCAGTCTCTGAATAAGAAACGAGGTATCAAAGACACAGACTTCTACATACTGAAATTATCATCAGTATGCCGAAATTGCCTGCATTCATTCTCTTTATTTATTCCTCTTTAGCAAATCTACAGCTGTATAGTCCTTGTGGCTTAGCGCTTCTTTTTGATTATAATAATAATAATTTAGCAAATCTACATTGTTCCCTGGTTTGTTCAAGACCGAGTTTGGTTCACTCAAGCGCTAACGAATCTGTTACTCCCGCGATTGGAAGGTTGTCCTGCAGGTGTTCAGGAGTTTACACCTCCATTACGAGTAAATCGAAACGGGTAACGGTGCATAACAGTTCCCGAAGTAGCTTATGTACCGGGTCTGGAACATGATTCAGTTTTTATTATGTTGCATATACATTCACGAAACTGTGCAACATTAATGGCACGTTGATGCTCAGTACCAACTGAACGAGCGATTCGCCAACAGCTCTGTAGAGACAGTCTCGGCATACGATGCATAACGTAACCACTACTTAACAAAGCACTACCCTGTAGCAATACGCTCACCACACAGACATGTGTAACAGTAGCAGGCAACAAAATACTCAGGCTTGCAGCGCAAACTGTGCACAGAACTCAAAGGCTTCAGTACAGTGACATAATGATTGTCAAAGGAAGGTTCACACAGGACTACTGTATGACCTTTATATAACTTGTGTATATAACCTTTCTGGATGTTATTGTCAGTGTGTCTGTGATTTCTGGTGACTAAGTCCAGCTAGTGGTTTGGTTTCTCGTAGTCGGTTAAGAGGCGTTATGATAGACAGTTAATCAACGATTCACGACCCATCTGTTGTTAATGCAGAGGTGCTGGAGTTTGCGGTTGAGATTGATCTTCTTTTGGAGGTTGACGGTGGTGACTGTGCTGAGAATGTGCTCAGCAGTGCGCTGGTCACTCTGCAGATCTTGCCGTTTCAAAGGTTACCTTAGCAATGTTAGACAGTTTCTCGGCGCATTTGATCAGTAAGCTTGCACATATGGAGTCACATAGAAAGTTGTGTCTGTTAGGAAGCTGTGAGGAGGTAGGAGGGTGTCCAGGTAACGTCTGTCTGCAACGTCCATTATGCTGCAGTGACCAACTAGTAACAGTGACGGTAGAATTACCCACGAAATCTTTCCCCATTCTCATCACGGTCTCTTCTTTGGAAATTGTGGCTAATTTCTCAGAGACAAAATAGTGTTTTTGCCTCACATTGTGTCTCCTTCATTATAAATAGCGTCTATAATACAGTCTCTCTGATTTGTAGCTTAATTAGGCAGTCTGACAGTGTCCCCCTCCTGGTATCTCTCCATCACAGTGTCTCTCCCTCACAGTGTCTCTCCATCACAGTGTCTCTCCCTCACAGTGTCTCTCCCTCACAGTGTCTCTCCCTCACAGTATCTCTCCATCACAGTGTCTCTCCCTCACAGTGTCTCTCCATCGAGTGTGTCTCTCCTTCAGGTACTCGCTGGTGATAGTGGACAACCCGAGGTTAGAGTCAGTATGGAACACAACCAACCTGACCATCATCAGAGGTCTGGTCTTAGTGCAGTTCAACCCCAGACTCTGTCTCCACCATCTTCACACCCTCATCAACAACACCAACATCACAGGACTTTCCGAGAATGATGTTTCTTCCACCTCCAATGGTGACAAAGTTCCGTGTAAGATGTTCTTACATTGTTTACCTCAGAACACGTGATGGGTGAGAGTACTGGGAAATGTCTGGCGTCTCTGTGGTGTCCTGGGGAAATTTTTCTGGTACAATGGTATTTTCACCTATAAGTGGTTGTGTGTGTGTGTGTACTCACCTAATTGTACTCACCTAATTGTAGTTGCAGGGGTCAATACTCAGCTCCTGGCCCCGCCTCTTCACTGAACGCTACTAGGTTCTATCTCTCCATGCTCCATGAGCTTTATCATACCTCCTCTTAAAGCTATGTATGGTTCCTGCTTCCACTACATCGCTCGCCAGACTGTTCCACTTCCTGACCGCCCTATGACTAAAGAAATGCTTCCTAACATCCCTGTGACTCATCTGAGTCTTCAACTTCCAAGAGTGACCCCTTGTTTCTGTGTCCCCTCTCTGGAACATCTTGTCTCTGTCCACCTTGTCTATTCCAGGCAGTAATTTACATGTCGTTATCATGTCTCCCCTAACCCTCCTGTCCTCCAGTGTCGTCAGGCCGATTTCCCTTAACCATTCTTCGCAGGACATTCCCCTTAGCTCTGGAACTAACCTTGTCGCAAACCTTTGCACTTTCTCTAATTTCTTAACGTGCTTGACCCGGTACGGGTTTCAAACTGGTGCTGCATACTCCAGTATGGGCCTGACGTACACGGTGTACAGTGTCTTGAAAGCTTCCTTACTTGCGTTTCGGAACGTTATTCTCAGGTTTGCCAGGCGCCCATGTGTTGTAGCAGTTATCTGGTTGATGTGTGCTTCCGGAGACATGCTCGGTGTTATACTCACGCCAAGATCTTTCTCCTTGAGCGAGGTTTGCAGTCGTTGGCCACCTAGTCTATACTCTGTCTGCGGTCTTCTTTGCCCTTCTTCGATCTTCATGACTTTGCATTTGGCAGGGTTGAATTCGAGAAACCAGTTGCTGGACCACGTGTCCAGCCTGTCCAGGTCTCTTTGGCTGCCTGCCTGATCCTAAACTGATTTAATTCTCCTCATTAACTTCATATCATCTGCGAACAGGGACACCTCTGAGCCTATCCCTTCCTTTATGTCATTAACATATACCAAAAACAGCACTGGTCCTAGGACCGATTCCTGTGGAACGCCGCTTGTCACAGGCGCTCACTGTGATACCTCATCACGTACCTTGACTCTGTTTTTTCCTCCCTGTCAGGTATTCTCTGATCCATTGCAGTGTCCTTCCCGTTATACGCGCCTGATCCTCTAGTTTCTGCATTAATTTCTTGTGAGGAACTATGTCGAAGGCCTTCTTGCAGTCCAAGAAGATGCAATCAACCCACCCCTCTCTCTCGTGTCTTACTTCTGTTACTTTATCATACAACTCCAGAAGGTTTGTGACGCAGGATTTTCCTTCCATGAAACCGTGCTGGTTTCATATGTGTGTGTGTGTGTGTGTGTGTGTGTGTACTCACCTAGTAGTGGTTGCAGGGGTCGAGTCCAAGCTCCTGGCCCCGCCTCTTCACTGGTCGCTACTAGGTCACTCTCCCTGAACCGTGAGCTTTATTATACCTCTGCTTAAAGCTATGTATGGATCCTGCCTAAACTACATCGCTTCCAAACTATTCCACTTCCTGACTACTCTGTGGCTGAATAAATACTTCCTAACATCCCTGTGATTCATCTGTGTCTTCAACTTCCAACTGTGTCCCCTTGTTGCTGTGTCCCATCTCTGGAACATCATGTCTTTGTCCACCTTGTCAATTCCTCTCAGTATTTTGTATGTCGTTATCATGTGCCCCCTATCTCTCCTGCCCCCTAGTGTCGATAGGTTCATTTCCCTTAACCTCTCCTCGTAGGACATACCCCTTACCTCTGGGACTAGTCTTGTTGCAAACCTTAGCATTTTCACTAGTTTCTTTACGTGCTTGGCTAGGTGTGGGTTCCAAACTGGTGCCGCATACTCCAATATGGGCCTAACGTACACGGTGTACAGGGTCCTGAACGATTCCTTATTAAGATGTCGGAATGCTGTTCTGAGGTTTGCTAGGCGCCCATATTGTGCAGCAGTTATTTGGGTTTATGTGCGCCTTTAGGAGATGTGCCCGGTGTTATACTCACCCCAAGATCTTTTTCCTTGAGTGAGGTTTGTAGTCTCTGACCCCCTAGACTGTACTCCGCCTGCGGTCTTCTTTGCCCTTCCCCAATCTTCATGACTTTGCACTTGGTTGGGTTGAACTCCAGGAGCCAATTGCTGGACCAGGTCTGCATCCTGTCCAGATCCCTTTGTAGTTCTGCCTGGTCTTCGATCGAGTGAATTCTTTCTCAACTTCACGTCATCTGCAAACAGGGACACCTCAGAGTCTATTCCTTCCGTCATGTCGTTCACAAATACCAAAAAACAGCACTGGTCCTAGGACGACCCCTGCGGGACCCCGCTGGTCACAGGTGCCCACTCTGACACCTCGCCACGTACCATGACTCGCTGCTGTCTTCCTGACAAGTATTCCCTGTTATCCCTGCTTGGTCCTTTCCCGTTTTTGCACCAATCTCTTGTGTGGAAATGTGTCAAACGCCTTCTTGCAGTCCAAGAAAATGCAATCCCCCCCACCCTCTCTCCTCTTGTCTTACTGCTGTCACCATGTCATAGAACTCCAGTAGGTTTGTGTGCGGTTGTGTGTGTTGTGTGTGTGTGTGTGTGTGTGTGTGTGTGTTGGTGTGTGTGTGTGTGGTGTGTGTGTTTGTGCGTGTGTGTGTTGTGTTGTGTGTTGTGTGTGTGTGTTTGTGCGTTGTGTGTGTGTGTGTGTGTGTGTGTGGTGTTTTGTGTACTCACCAATTGCTCCCTAATTGTGGTTGCAGGGGTCGGACTCGCTCCCGGCCCCGCCTTCATGGGTCGGTATGGATCCTCTCCCCTCTGCTTCTGAGCTTTGTCATAACCATACCTCTTCTTAAGTATGTATGGTTCCTGCCTCCACTACTTTCCACTAGCTAGACTATTTTCCACTTGCTGACACTCTTTATGAAGAAATACTTCCCAACGTCCCTGTGACTCGTCTGAGTCTTCAGCTTCCAGTTGTGACCCCTTGTCCCTGTGTCCCCTCTCTGGAACATCCTATCTCTGTCCACCTTGCCTATTCCCCGCAGTATCTTGTATGTCGTTATCATGTCTCCCCTGACCCTTCTGTCCTCCAGTGTCGTCAGTGTGTGTGTGTGTGTGTGTGTGTGTGTGTGTGTGTGTGTGTTTGGAACCTATTTTGTCTACGAGAAATAGTACTTAGAAAAAGGAGTTCTCACTCATCACACATTACTATTATTGTTAATTTATTGTAATTATTATTATTACCATCATTATTAAAGGTAATTATTGCAGCAGAGATGAGGAAGCTTGCAGGCGACACTACTCATCAATACTCGTCCACTGGTAACAAAGTCTTGCCAAGCTTCACTACACATCAATACTCGTCCACTGGTAACAAAGTCTTGCCAAGCTTCACTACTCATCAATACTCGTCCACTGGTAACAAAGTCTTGCCAAGCTTCACTACACATCAATACTCGTCCACTGGTAACAAAGTCTTGCCAAGCTTCACTACACATCAATACTCGTCCACTGGTACAAACCTTGCCAAGCTTCACTACACTCAATACTCGTCCACTGGTAACAAAGTCTTGCCAAGCTTCACTACACATCAATACTCGTCCACTGGTAACAAACCCTTGCCAAGCTTCACTACACATCAATACTCGTCCACTGGTAACAAAGTCTTGCCAAGCTTCACTACACATCAATACTCGTCCACTGGTAACAAACCCTTGCCAAGCTTCACTACACATCAATATCGTCCACTGGTAACAAAGTCTTGCCAGCTTCACTACACATCAATACTCGTCCACTGGTAACAAAGTCTTGCCAAGCTTCACTACACATCAATACTCGTCCACTGGTAACAAAGTCTTGCCAAGCTTCACTACACATCAATACTCGTCCACTGGTAACAAAGTCTTGCCAAGCTTCACTACACATCAATACTCGTCCACTGGTAACAAACCCTTGCCAAGCTTCACTACTCATCAATACTCGTCCACTGGTAACAAAGTCTTGCCATAGCTTCACTACTCATCATACTCGTCCACTGGTAACAAAGTCTTGCACAGCTTCACTACACATCAATACTCGTCACTGGTAACAAAGTCTTGCCAAGCTTCACTACACATCAATACTCGTCCACTGGTAACAAACCCTTGCCAAGCTTCACTACTCATCAATACTCGTCCACTGGTAACAAAGTCTTGCCAAGCTTCACTACACATCAATACTCGTCCACTGGTAACAAACCCTTGCCAAGCTTCACTACTCATCAACACTCGTCCACTGGTAACAAACCCTTGCCAAGCTTCACTACTCATCAACACTCGTCCACTGGTAACAAACCCTTGCCAAGCTTCACTACTCATCAATACTCGTCCACTGGTAACAAAGTCTTGCCAAGCTTCACTACACATCAATACTCGTCCACTGGTAACAACAACCTTGCCAAGCTTCACTACTCATCAATACTCGTCCACTGGTAACAATAGTCATGCCAAGCTTCACTACACATCAATACTCGTCCACTGGTAACAAACCCTTGCCAAGCTTCACTACTCATCAATACTCGTCCACTGGTAACAAACCCTTGCCAAGCTTCACTACTCATCAACACTCGTCCACTGGTAACAAACCCTTGCCAAGCTTCACTATCATCAACACACTCGTCCACTGGTAACAAACCCTTGCCAAGCTTCACTACTCATCAATACTCGTCCACTGGTAACAAAGTCTTGCCAAGCTTCACTACTCATCAACACTCGTCCACTGGTAACAAAGTCTTGCCAAGCTTCACTACTCATCAATACTCGTCCACTGGTAACAACCCTTGCGAAGCTTCACTACTCATCAACACTCGTCCACTGGTAACAAAGTCTTGCCAAGCTTCACTACTCATCAACAGTCGTCCACTGGTAACAAAGTCTTGCCAAGCT